GTATTATTTTTTAAAATGAATGATGGTATTTTGGGAATTAAAAAAATTCATTAAATGTTCATCTCTGCTTCTTTTGAAAGCAGCTTTGAAAAGCAACCCATAGCCTGCTTTTAAAAGCTGCTGTCAAAAGGCCACTGCTTTTAAAATAATCTAGATATTTTATTTTTACCAAACACCTAAAACTGCTTAACTTTAAAGTGAAGCAGGTTTTGGTGAAAAAAAGCAATCCCAAACGGGGCCTTAGCTTCTGCTCCCTCCTCTCCCGCCTATTATATATAGACCGCTCTGGGCTATTTATTTGCTGCTTCATGTTGTGAAATCCGTACGTAGAGCAAGAGAGCGAGAGGTGAATTTCTCTGCCACCAATTATTATGGTAAGCGTTTCGTCCTGTACGTAGTGTTTTTTTTACGTGACTATAATAATTCGGTAATTAATAATAAAATCGACATGTATTTGTTGTGTATCAAATACAATGTTATTGCATCTCAAGAATGGTTTAGGCTCCCAAGAAACCCTAGCCGCTCTTTCCTTCTGTAAGTCCTAAAGGAAAACTTCATAGAGGGAGGAGGACGAAAAAGTGTCATTGCCCCTCCTCGCCATCCTCTCTTCTCGTCTTTTCCTTTTAGTTTAGTGAATAAGTTCATTAAGAAGTTTTTAAAAAAAAGCTCTTTGGGGTGGTTTTTTTTTAGCCATGGTTAACTTAAAGTTCCTCATCACCCATTTTAGTCTATGTTCTCAATCAAATACTGCTCTCAAAACCCGCTCCCTGACGTCGCTCATGTTCTCTAAATTTGATTCTACATCGTCTTTGATGAAGGTTGCTGCAAATCATCCAATTGTTCTTTGACAAAGTTGTTGTTTTCGTTTATTTGTTTGCTCTTGTGCTCAAGTAGATCGTTGAAAATCATATTTTCCCCAGATCTGTTACGGATGCGATGGTGGGGGTAGCCATGACAGCGCTTCATCAGGTGGTGGTTGTAGAGTTCGTCTAGACTCATGTGATGTTTTAGGGTTTTGGTTACACTGGGTTTGTGGGCTTTGTTTAGGCTTATGGTTAATTGTGGTGATGTAGGCTAGTAGTTTTAGTGCACTTTTATCCGCGTTAGTTATGTTTTTAGCATGTTAGTTTGTTGTCCTCTTGGGATTTGCATTTTAGATGTCTTTGATTGTACCGTTGACGTTTATCTAATAAAGTGTCTATTTGATATAAATAAATATATATATATATATAAACAATGGTAAGGTTTTAACGAGTCCACTCTTTTTGCCCTCTTGTTACGTAACATTATACGGTCTGTTTGTGCCTTTATTTTAAAAGTTAATGAAATTTTCTCTTAATAAAAAAAAATGAAAAAGAAGAAGTCTAAATTCAAACAATTTGAAAAAAAAAAATTATTATGTTCATGATAGTGCTTGAAAGCCTAATCGCAGCTTATTTTAGATGATCGATTTATGTTTAATTTGGTCGAGACAACGACAATCACAACAAAACTATGGCACACGATCTGATTTTGTTCAATATTGGATGCAAAATAAATTAATTAGCAGTTGTTGAACTTCAATCAACATTTACGTACAGTTTAATCATTAGTTTTGCTTACATTGTATTGTGCTGGCATGTCATGCTTTGTTGTTTTTCGGGTTTCTTTATTTCTTTCTTTGGTGTTTTTTTTTTCAGTGTAATAATCTAATCTGGCTTTTTTTTTTTGGTTCCTGTTCTGTCTTCAGATGTCATCCTCCAGAAGGTCAAGGTGCGTTTTGTTCAGAAATTCTTCTGTTTTTCTCGTTTCATGTTTTTAGTGGTTTGCCCATGTTGGTTTCTAATAAGGTCTGACTTGAACTGCATACCCCGCAGTTACACGCCGTCCTTCTCGTGGTCCTCTCCGAGTTCGTCCTTTCCAAGTTCTGTTTCGTCCTCTCCGAGTTCATCCCTTCCAAGTTCTCCGAGTTCATCCCTTCCAAGTTCTCCGAGTTCTGTTTGGAGGTGCTCTTCCAGCTCAAGGTTGTGGCTTCAACTTCAACCAAGCTGCTTTACATTTGGAGGTGCTCTTCCAGCTCAAGGTTGTGGCTTCAACTTCAACCAAGCTGCTTTACATCTGTCCCTTTCACTTTGATTTTAATGCCTTCTCTGATTATTCATTTTGCTTTGGCTTGCAGGAGCCCCCAACGGAGTGACGTTGATAATCCTATGAACAATTTGCATGTAAGTTTTCTAACTCAGTGAAATTAAAGTATGATTGAAACCCTTTTCTATAATTATAATTTTTATTTTTGCAATCATGGTAGCTTGGTTTTTATTCATTGTTTAGTTTGTTTGGTTGATGTTCTTACTTTTTTTAAGTGTGGGTTTCTAGATGATTGATTTCTTGTTTTCCTTCATTTTAGGGTAGGAGAGGGCGAACTCCTATTTCAGGAAGAGGGCATCAAACAATTCCTCGTAAGTTGTTTTTAATGTCTGCATTGACAAGATCTTATATGAACAACAATGCGTCTATCTCTCTTGTTATATGATTCACGTGATGAGATAATAAATACAAACACAGTTGTGTATAACTAGTGACAGGAAAGCTTTTGTCCATCGTGACATTTTCTGTTATTTTGTTGTAGTGCGCCACAGAACCCCCAGCCACTCACCTCCTCGTAGATCTCATATGTACTCTAACCATCGGAGGCATTATAGTCAGTCACCTAGTTATTCATCTGACCTAAGCAGGAGAAGGTCATACTCTCCACATTACAGTCGTCGGAGGGCATCTCCTTCCTACAATCGTCGGAGGGCATCTCTTTACTACAGTCGGCTGCCCAAAACATACTGTGCTCGGTGCAATCGGTATAGACCTTACTCTTACAGCAGGTCACCAGTGAGACACCGTTACCTGGCCGACTCACCATATGACTCCAGAGAGTATTCACCAGAGGACTCTTACCACGTAAGAAGGTATCGCCATGGAAGGCGGTCTCCTAGTCCACTTAGGGCAAGGAGAAGGTCAAGGAGGAGCTACTCACATAGTGTCTCTCCTAGGCCTAGGAGGAGTTACAGGAGGAACTACCCCAGACTTTCTCCTGAACCAAAAAGGAGGACGGTAAGGGAGAGCTACTCTCCAAGTTCATCTCGTAGACACAGGAGCTCGAGGTCTTACAGGCGTTCGCCTGGGTGAAGATACTCCACCAAAACTGACTGGAGTTACTACCAACCGAAGCAGGCTGAGTGCAAGTTTCAGATACGGTTCAGGATATGCTATTCCTAGGTCTAACTTCACCTTCATCATGAAATATGTTTATTCTGCACATCTAGCTTTTTAAGGGGTTTGCGATTTGGTGATGTTGGTAATGGCGGACAATTGAGTTTGGGATTGTACTTCACTCTTGAGATGCTGGTATTCTTAGAAAAGATTCCAACTAAATAATAATATACCGAAATTATGGGCATGTAAGAAAATGCTTTGAAATAATAAATAAGTGTCGAAGTTCCAAGTCCACAATTGTAATGATCAATTACTAATATAAGGAAGACAATCATAGTAAGGACAAGGCATGCACAACAATATGAACAGGGTATGGTAGCAAGGTATTACCTACTTTTACCAACATCTGGTTGCAGAATTTATTTATTTTCTTATTTGGAACTTCTGTTGGCATAAGAAAATACATAGAGATGCCAGCTCTAAAAAATGTTTTAAAATGAAACATATGATTGAATATAAAAAAAGTGAGAAAAACAAAAGTGGAACATATGATGTCGGTTGCTACTTCTGTTGGCTTCTTTTATTCTTTACCTTAAGCTTCTTGTGCCATAATCATAACATTAACATAAACATCGGAACCAGCATGGGTGGATCTATGGTACACGGCACTCTTCTATGTTCCAGATTTCCTTGGCATACTGAGCAATTGTGCGGTCGCTGCTGAACTTGCCAGACCCGGCAGTGCTTAGTATGGACATCTTCAGCCACATTTTCCTATCCCTGCAGGTGAAAAATGGCACCCCGTGTCAAAACCAGTAGAAATAGTCTCTCTCTCTCTAGGGTTAATAAAAAAAGTGGGGTGGGGGGTAGTGATCAGCACATGTAGTTCAACATAGTGGGTAAAATGCTTGCAATATTTTCTTTTCTGGTTGGAGTAAATACTTGCAATTCAAGAAAACACTGATCCATTGGGATTGTGGTTAATACCAGCAATTCAATCTAGAACTAATTTTGCTAAATTTGATTGAACATGGACCACACTTGAGAAGATCTTATATATTA